AATATTTTTAATCTGTAAATAATTAAAACATTGTAAAATTTAACTCTTAATATGATTTTGTTTACTTTGCCTGAGTTTTGTGTTTATGCATTTAATTTGTTTTATATTATTTAATGAGAATTCTTGAAGCTTTGAATAAATCAAATTAGGAAATGAATTTTTCAATTTTCTCAAAGTTGCTAATTTTCCACGGTAGCTTAAATACGTTAAATTACTAATGCTTTTCACTTATCAAGTTATAACCATCTGCCAGGGATGAACTTAAGCTCTAATGTTTTGAAAGAAACAATTACCATATTTTTAAAGAAAAAAAAGCATTTAGGATGCGACATTCTTGTTTTTATTTAATATTTTATAACCTTGTAGACTTTCAGAGAGTAGATAAAAATGCTATTTTATGGAGATATAAAGAAATGAATTTGAATGTCTTCTCTTTCATGCCCTAAAGAGTTGTTGGAGGCTGAGGAAAAGCATCCATTCTCTGAAACCCCAAGTTTATTAGGTGTAATCTGGGTACGTGTTTGTGTGTATTTGTGATAGGGGTGGGTTCAGTAATAGGAACACGCCTATACTTGAACATTGTGAGCATCTATGAATATTAAGAGTCTCTATAAACATTGATAGATATTCTCCATACCTATTCACCATTCTCCACACACATTTAATCTGTGAGCAGAACAAATCATTCAGGATCGGTGGAAGATTAATCAACAACCTACATTATGTAAATGAAACAAGTTTACTTGCTGAAATTGAGGAGGACTTGACAACTTGCTGCAGAGGATCAAAGACTACAACCTTGGTTACTTCTTGAACATCAAGAAGACATAAGCATCACCACAGGGCAGAGAGGGAATGTTAGGATAAATGAAGAAAGGACAGAAATTGTCAGTGACTTAATCTTGGTTGTATACACAATCAACAATACCCTTGGCACCAGCAGCCAAGAAATCAAAAGACATATTGAACTGGGAAAGCCTACTGTCAGGGAACTCTCCAAAGGGCTGAAGAGCAATGATGTCTGTTTGAAGTCCACCTAATTTAAACCATAATTGTTTCAATTACTTGCTACACAGCTGAAAGTTGTACAATGAATAAGGATACAGAAGAAATGAGTTGTGCTATTAGAGAAGAGTATTGAATATCCACTGATTGCCAAAAGGACAAACAAATATGTCTTAGAAAGGCTAAGGTGCATCTTGGAGGTAAGGAAGTGAAGCTTTGTGTCACATAATTTCAGCATGTCTATAGGAGAGTCTGGAAGCAGGAGTAGCGCCCACTTCATAATTAACATACTTCTGAAAACTATGAAATTTGAGAAATGATGATAGTTATAGAAAGGCTTCAGGTCTTTTGTTCGTAGGGTCACTATGAGTCGTGCTTCACTCGATGGTAATCAACAACAACAATAATATAGGAGGGTCTAGTACTTGGAAAAGTAAATAATGTTTTTTGGTCAGCAAAGGAGGGAAAGACCTTCAAAGAGATGGACAGACGTGTGACTGTAATAGTGGGATTGAATGTACCAAAGATGTTTAGGGTGGCACAGGATAGTTATTGTGATGTACACTGAGTAGACTAGGTCATAGTGAGTCTATGAACAATGACTCTGAACCCTGTCATATCCTGAGCAAATCTCACCATTTCTGACACACTTGACCCCATTTGCCATAGTCACTATGTCAATCCATCTCATTCAGGGGTTTCCTTTTCTACACTGGAACTCTACCTTTCTAAGCATTATGTCCTTCTACAAGGACTTGTCCCTCTTGGCAACATATCCTAAGTGTGTGAGACAGAGCTCCAAAATCCTTGCCTACAAGGAGTAAACTGATTTCACTCTTTCCATGATAGATCTGTGTTCTCTTGGAAGCTCATGGTATATTCGACACTCTTCTCCAACACCACAACTAAAAGGCATTGTTTCTTCATCTGTCACCCTTATTCACTGTCCAGCTCTCAGATGCATAGCAACTGAGAAAATCAAGGCTTGAATAAGTTGTACCTTTGTCTCTAGACTAACATTGTTCTTCTTTAGCATTCTGGAGAAGTCTTTGATGATAGATTTTCCCAATACAATTCATCTTTTGATGTCCTTAATGCTGGTGTCAAAAGTGTTGACTGTGGCTCCAAGCAATATGAAATCATTAGCAGTCTCCATCTGCCATGAAGATACATATTGGCCATTGTTTCAGGATAACTACGAGTCATAGTTGATTGTATGGCACTTCACAACAATAATGAACATTGAGAGTATTTATTAAGAAATAAAAGCATATCTTTTCAGAATTAGGAAAGCTAAAAATGTTTTTCTTTTGTATCTTAGGAGTGGATGTTACACTATTTAATATTCATACCAAAATAACTAATAACACAAACCAATCAAGGAAAATATCTGTAGCCTTAGGAATGCTAAATGGCAGTTTTATCTCATGAAACACAACAAATAAAATTACTCAAAATCATTGCTGTGGAATCAGACCAGAATCAGACCTGACTCTCTATTTAGTTTCCGAAGCTGTAGATCGTATGGGTGGTGAATGCGCATCTTTCTCTTGTAGTACTGCTGGCAGATTTAAAGCACCACAGAGGCTCAGCCTTTGGGTTAAAAGGGAAACTCCCTGTGGACTTTGGCACCAGAGCTTCCTATAGGGTCATTTCTTGTTGTGGTTGTTGAGTAGCACTGTGTCAGAACTGACTCATAACTGACTCCAGTGAGTTCTCAGTAGCAGTAATTGCACAGGAGGATATTCTCCCACTTTCTCTCACAAAACAGTGGGTAGATTCACACCATGTATCTTTTGGTTGACAGCACAGTTCCTTACCACTAAGCCATCAGAGCTCTCATAGGATCACCATAAATACGAATTTGATTTGACAACAGTGAATTTTGGGTTTTTACACCTACAAAGCCATCATGTTATCACAATTCAGATACAGAACATGACCTTCAGCCTAGATGTTTCCCAATGTCCATTCGTGTCCATGTTATATTCAACCCCAAAAATTCATCATCTACTATTTTCAACATTAGTTTTGATTGAACTGAAAGACTGATGATAGTTGAGATGAAATCTCAATAGACAACTATATTTTTTCCCGGGTTTTCTGTTCCATGCCCCCACCCCCCAATCCTTATCACACTCCCCCTCTTGGCTTATTTCAGCTGTCTTCCTCCAATTCACTCAATCTCCCTCATTCATTTATTTCTTTCCATTTCTGTCTCTCACCATCCATCTCTTCACAAGTTGTGCTCCTTTGACTACACTCCCAATTTCTGTTTCTCTCACTCCCCCAATCTCGCTTTGTTCCTTCCAACTCCATTCACTCCTAGCCCCTCCTTCATGCTTTGCTTATTGTGGCTCTCTCTTTCCTTCCCGCTAAGGAGATCTTAAGACTGAGACTCATGTCTCAAAT